TCCTTGTCCTTTTTACCCAATTAAACTGTCAAATAAGGGAATTTTGCTCTAGCATTAAGGGGGAAGTACTGGACAATATAGGACAAGTTCCATGACACCCAAAAGCACCAGGCAACTGTTTCAGATGTGTATGGGGGTATACTGAGCACCTAACCCTAATAACAACATTTTCAATTATCTAATTTCAATCTTTTTCAAATTGGAGCATGAAGAAACTGCCAATCAACTTTCAAAGCAAAGCCAACAAACAGGTCACAAAAATTAGTATGTTGCATCAAAAAACTTAAAAATAGTGAAACTAGCCACAAACCCAACAATGCCAGGATGAATACAAGCAAAGGGATAACTTTGTGAAGTTGTTATTGTTCCAGAGGATAGAGGAGTCTGAGTGATGAATTCTCCTTGAAGAGTTTGTGATCAAGAATCTTGTCAAGTTTCAGAGAAAGAAGATTCCCTTTTGCTCCCATCATTTCCATTGAAAAAAGATGCCGGCCGAATTTTACTTGCTTTGAATGTGTGCTGGTCCATTGTAACCATCTCTCTATTCGTCTTCAATGGTGTCTTTAACATCTCCCAGAGTGTTCCCTAGAGTCATCAATATTCGGTCAAGAAATCCAGTGTTGATCCAGTGCAAGACTTTGAACCACCTGTGACTCGCTCATTCCATGCTCAAATGACCATGGCTTTTCCAGTAATTCCTCATGTTGTCCGGATGCTTCACTGGGTGAGCATATGAGCTTCTGTGGACTCGCATGCGTTGAATAGGAAGCCCGTGCGTATTAACGCAGTTACCAATTGCCTTGTCCTCAGAAAAAGGGAGGATGGTTCGATTACACTGCTCTACAACATATCGAGCCAGGTCAGGAGACATCCAGTAGAATCTGCCTCTCATGAAAGATGCCCCTCTCATGAAAGATGCCCCGGCGATTTCATTGTCAAGTTCACCTCGTTTGATATCATCTTGACCTCCATAAGCTCTAGCATTTCTTGGAAATTTTGGCAGCAGTGACATTTCTGGCAAAAATCTCCGTGGAAACACCAAGGTGTCAGTATCTACTGTGCTAATATAATCAAAATAGAGATAGTCCTGCAAAAGAACTGCATATTTCATCCAAGTTTCCGACTTGCCTTCGGCAAGATTTTCTCTTATATTCAAGTATACGGCATCTGACTCCTTATTCTTGACATTTTGAATTTCAATTTCATGGAGTGATGCAGCGTTTAAGTTGATTGGGGGTGCTTCGGGACTAGCACCAAAAACAAAGCTGTAAGCGAGCTGACACTCCACTTCGTGTACGGTTTTCGCTAGCAACTCTTGGAGTGAACATATCCGATTCGGAGTTTTGCTATTTTTGTACGCATTCAAGTAAGTCTCCCTTATTGCTTTTCGTCTTTGATGTTCTGTTATTGTGCTTGCGTCGTAGGTAAAAATGCCCATTAACATCCTAGGACTTCCATTGTATCCATTGTAGGCTAACGCATTTTTACCTGTGATTCCTTCCACTCGTTTTACTTCTTTCTCGTCAATAAAGTCTATCACTTTTACTACGTAGTCGTCCCATTTCTTGAGCGCCTCCACCGCCAGATTGCTCTGCCTTCTCACACCCCTCATGGCAGTTGGTCCCGACTGGTTGCTACATACGCTTAGCATTTCCCAGACTTTCGGAGGCTTGTTCGAGCTGTAGTGGTCCGCGATCCGGACAAACTCGCTTACAAGTTTCCTTGACAGGCACAAAAAATTGTCATCGAAGCACTCATGTGAATTACAATGCGTACCCGTAGAGTTTTTGGGCAGTCCGGCAAAAACGTAAGGGTGATGAGACCGCATAACAACGTTCCCATTCCAAAAAACAGTGGGGAGAAAAGATATTTCAGTTGTTGCGTACATGACATAGTCAAACACTCTCGGGGTATCTAATTCGCTAGCAAAGGTGAACCAACTCATTTTGGTATCGCTTCGCGCAATGGTAGTAGATTTACGTTCGTCAAGCCATATGGCATCTGGTTCCATTCCCAGGGAATCGGTAACATTGGTATCCAATATGAAAGCATACACTATTTGGCAATCCGGAATTTCACTCAGGGGGGATTTTATACTCGAATTCAAAGCGCAAATAGATTTCGCGGATATACCTAGCACCTCTGACCCAAACCACTTTAGATAAGTGTTGCGAATGATTCTACGCATTCGGCTTTCCTCGGCAAAAGAGGAGTTGTGCGAAGCGATACCAAGGAGGATGCGAGGTCCTGTGGCAGCAGAAAGCATTCTGGCACTTGACATGTCAACGTGGTTTTGAAAGCTAGACAACACATGTTTGAACCGAAAAACACCACATGACACCGATAGCAAGACAACGAAAACAATGGTAGTACAGGGTCTCAACATTCTCTTCGAATTTCAAATTTGTGAGCTGTGTGGTCGGTACGTCGAATAACTCTATCTTTCTGTCAGTATACTGGCACACAAGTTCGATATGTGTAGATCGGACTTAGGTTGCTGGTGCAATACTGAGATGACGGTCGCCCTACCGTCGTTCATGGAGTCACTATTGAGTCCATTGGTTCGACCGCTTTCTTCCGTCTACGTTAGATGAATTAAAAGAAAACGTCCCCAATAATGGGAACGTCATTGTTGGATATATTAGGATTTTCGAAGTACATATTTGGAGAAACGAGTGAGTGCTATCATACGAGGCTGGCAGGTTTTAAAAGTAAATTGTAGATGGGAGAACAGTTGAGATTTGATTAGTACGTTAGGGACACGGAAGTATTGCCACGAGGCTGCATACTGAAGGATGTGAAAACAATACCCGGAAGTGCCAACGCCCGCGCTTGTGGCCAAAGGACAGAAACATAATAATGTGCTGGACTGAAGTAGATAATGGAACCACCAGATCTTTCGTTGTCGTTTTGCCGAGCGGTACCTGCGTATTGGTACTGTGAACATTAGATGCATGACTTGTATGTGGAGGGTGTAGATCCTGTGGTAAGCGAAATTGCTAAATCAGGTCTCGGCGAAAGGGAGCATTTTTTTTGGGAGCAAACTGAAGAGAATACAATTCGCATGCGCACTAGAAGGGATAAAAATAGCATCGAATTCTGTCGGTGGGTGGAAGTGAAAAATGGCTCGTCTGAGCCGAATAGTAAGAAGATGTTTGCACGCCGAAAGTTTGAAGTTGGTGATGCCATCACGTTTTTGTGCAAGGATGAAGAACACTGCGGATTCCCCGTCCTCGGAGGTTTTCACGCCAGGATCGTCTCCATGTTAGCCGAATCGAATACATATTTGACAAGTAATGGCACTCTCAGATGTTCGAAACCCATTCTGAAAGGCGAGGAGATAACGCGGTTCGATGGCAACAGCGAAAGAGACGAAATTCTGGAATCCGTTGATATGATTGTTGTTCGCTTTGATACAATGAAAGTCGGGCGAGTTGGTTGTGTGAATCGGTCGCACCCAGGGATTTTGGTCTGTTATCCGAACGGAAGTAAGGAGCTTGAGTGCAATAATCATCTACAGTGTTTCAGCAGCACCCGACTTTTCCCGTCTGCCGTACTTGGGAAAACTGGAATTTGCGTTGGTCTTCAATTGCAACAGCTTGGCTATAAAACAGTGACGTGATTGTCACTCATCAAAAAGTAGTAATACAGTATGACGCAACGCAATTTTTTCATTAGATTGGGTGTTTATCGGCAAAGTCGTCTATCTCCTCGTCAGTACTGTCGCACAAGTCGATTGGATCAGTTAGGACTGTTGTAGGACAAGAAACAACTTCCTTCTTAATGTGCGGGTAACCCAAAGCGATGTGCGCTGCTTTTGGATATGGTTCGGAAAACAAAGCGTGCCTGGAGTCAGGATAGGCTGTATAGAACCGTGTATCCACTCGACCTCCCCACTGATGCTTTACCAGTCGGATAATAGAATTATCCGTGATAAAGTGATCTAGCGATTGCTTTTTCGGGTTAGTGCGGTCGCAGTGATGACTGATTTCTGCCGGCACTCCCCTCGCTTGTAGAAACTAAACGAAGCTGAGACATACGAAACGCTGGTGAAACAAGTTTGCATCGTACACTTACGTTTACGACGAGGTTCAGAATGGCGAGTTTACTGTCGTTGGTTGTATCATGCATTGTACACATAAAAACGCATTCTGGTTCTCCCATTCGCCCACTTTTCTGCTGTGTTTTTAAAATAGGCTCGTCAACATCTTTGCTCTTGCGTCTAGGGGCTGCGCACAAGATGCGGGATTGAAGTGCAAAAGCATATTCCCTAGCATCCCTTTGCCTGGACTTGTCAGTTATTCCCAACGCTGTGAGCACAGGCTTGATTTGTTGGTATGGGGCCTCTTTGGTTTCGTCAAAGCCATTTAGGTAGATGGCATACCACACACCGTATCCGATGCAACAAAGAGACACATTCACTGGGTCTTTGGTCATATAGTTCTTTGCGTGAGTCACTTCCTTGAAGTCTCGCAGGACTGTCTTTGCGTTAAGCACCTTCCCAAAGTACTCAGTCATTTCATGTTGGTCCTTAGTCTTCTTTTTTGGTGTAACTTCGACTGGTACTGGTGGTGACCGCTTCAAGAGCCCTAGGGAAGGAGACGGCGGATCTTTTTGAGCCTCCTTCGGATTGCTCTCAAGCGTCGATGTCGGCATGCTGTAGTTAAATGCTGAAAATTATGTGCCTGAATAGTGCGTTGCATATCAAGAGGCATCGCCAACGGTTTGGGGGGCCTCAGATGTTTGGGCCCAGGCAATGTCGTTGTATGCTGAAAATCGCTTGAAGGCATGTCGTCAATACTGAACATGTTGCCATGCACTACTGTCTTTGGCAACTAGTGAATATTTTGTACGTTATGTTTGTGCCCTTCCGATGTCGTTCTAGGCTGAAAATCGCCTAACCGCATGTTGCCAATACTCAACAAACGAGCTCTCTTAGAGACATAAAGTCCCCTTGCAACAGTAGTATGAAAGATTTGACGGTACTCAGCATTGAGTAGCTTTCCTTTCCCAGCTTCCAGTAAATCGTTACCAGCTGGTGTTTCCTGCTTTGAATCCTTGTTGAACTTGA